TTTTTTATAAATTCTTTTTCAGCAGTTAAAGGAAACTTGATCTGTTTGAATTGGCAATAGGTAAATATAAACATGCTATGTGCATTAATAGAATTTAATGAAGATGTAACAATATGTAGTATCAATCACATATGGTCAGACTTAGCCACAAAATCTGTTTAGATTAATGCCAGGATGCATCTGACAAGCACTGGGACAACATAGTTCTTGCTTTCTGCGTCAAAAGGATTAAGAACTTTTATACCAATTGAAGTTCTTAAAGAATAATTTTTTTATCAGTCTACAAAACTGCCCAATTTAAGAACTAAAATTTGTTGACAGCCACGGCACAAAGCATGCTTCCTGTAAAATGGTAATTAATATCCAGCAGATTACTGACAAAACTGTATTATGTAGAGAATCAGGGAGATTAACATCTCTTCAATTACAGGAGTCACACCTCCAACTGCTGCTCCAAGTCAGTAGCAGCTGCATAACTTACCCTGCTTAATACCATCTGGGAACATCAGAGTATCTAAAGGCTTTGCTGTAATAAACAAATACTCACTGGGAATTGACACCTATTAATGTGGAACCTGTACAGCCTCAACATCATTGTTATACTCTCACTTTAAAAGCAAAGCTAAGACATGCTCTGGAGATTTTCCAGTTCAAAAAGAAAGCATAAACTCTATGCTGTGCAAAAGAGATTACAGATTTCAGTTTACTTAACTTCAATCCTTATTACTCTTTTTCATGGTAGAATCCCAAAGGCCCATATACTTGATGAATCACTGCTTCAAAGTCAACTTCTCTTTTATAAACCAGTTATAGTTAAAAAGCATTTTAACTATGCAAAAACAACGATCCTACAGATTTTAGTCCCACCTCGACGTCCACCACCTCCACCTCCTCTCATGAATTCAGGCCTTCTAGTTGCAAAAGAAACTTTGATAACATTGCCATTGAATTCTTTTCCTGTTGGAAGACAGAAAGTGAGAGAAAGGTCAAAGCTCCCAACAACCCAGCAGCAAGTTTAGAAGAGAAGCAATGTGCACAAACAGACTGAATACAAAGCTCTTGAGACACAAGGAGTCTGCAGTAAATAACTTATTTTTGAAAGCACTGGTCCAAACGTGAGATAGCAAACACGGAATTACTTGGTTCTCCATAAAGCCACAGCTATTTCTCTTAATTTAAACATGATGTGTAAGTTGCAATTTAAATAGACACTTAAGAATATGTAAAACATTTTTTGTCATGTTCATAGATAAGTAATTTGGATGTTAAAACTCTTCTTCCCCCAAGTCAGGTAACAAGGCTTTTGTACAATTCAACAGCCAGCACAAAAATTGTATTTCCCAAGTAAGGGAAAGACATGAACTTTTAATACACAAAGTTTTGGTTCTTCACAGATACAGGGTTTATCACAGAATAAACAGGACTGCATGTGTGCCTAATATAGTCATATTTCCTTTACCCTCCTAAACAAGTAATTTTGCATTTTATTAGCAAAATATAAACAATGAAATAGCATTCCAGATTTTGTACAGACTAACATTTCACACCAGAAGCAGAGCATGTACTTTTGTTTCTGCCCAATATTATTAAAATTCTGTGGACAGACCAGGTCACAGGAGCAGGCACTTCCCTCTGCCAAGACGAACTACTACAAAAGAGCATCACGGGATTTCCTGCATCAGGGCTGAAGAGTTTTCTATCAATGTTTCTCTGGGATCAGCTCTCTTCCTCCACTGAATAAGTAATTTAAAATAACCCTTGGTCTTTACTGCATATATACAAAGCACTTGTGCAAGGCTGCTGTAGCCACTGCCAAAATCTAAAAATGCTACCACAACACCAGTAACATCAATACTTACACTGTAGGAAATCCCTTCAGCTGCTGACACAGATGACAGCTCTATTGGTCTGAACAAGAAGTTACACTCTCCCAAGTAACATGAACACCACCTCTCATACTTTGTGCAGGGATGACTGAGGTACAGCAGCAAACACTAACAATTTCATCACACATTTTGGTCTCAAGCACTAGCTGCTGTTCCATTGAATTAGAAAGAAAGGCAGCACATACAAATTAGGATGAAACAGAGGCCTTTGGAAAAACAAGAACAAAAAAAATCCCAAGCACAAGCACACAAAAAACCCAAACAAAAAGTAGAATGAGGTCCCCAATCAGGTTATTAATTTGCTTCTTCCACTGCTTAGATTAATAAATAGATTAATAAACAACAAAAAGAACAGGTACTCTCACCATCAAACCAGTCAATTGCTGCTTTAGCAGAAGGAGGGTCATCAAAAGATACTGTTGCTTCTCCCTTTGGTTTGCCAGTATCCTTATCTGTATAAAGGTTTATCATAGGTTTGCCAGTCTTTTTGTTGGTCTGAAAGGAAAGGTTGTACACTTGGCACAGGAGAAATAATGGTAAAGGCAGTTCAAAGCATAAACTCTAACAGCTAAGCATCATTAGAAAGAAGATTCTCTTGGAGCTAGCCTGCAGAAACAGATGCTTTTGACTGAAGGATACTGACTGCCTGTTCTCCATGAAGTTAAGGATGGGCCCAGTTTTTACAAAAAGTTGAGGTCAAGTGCAGGAAGCCCTAATTCAGAACTGCAGAAACAGAAGAAAGCCACAGAACACAGAAGCAGGCTGGCTGAAGTACGAGTGTAGTACAATGGATAGAGTGTCAGTGTTAAGGGTTATAAAGATGAAAGAAGAGATACAAAGCAATCTAAATGTCACTAGAAAAAAGCTGCTGGTGCTGCCAGCTTACAAATGAGCTGTCAGCTGGGAACCCAGATAAAAATATTATCTGCAACTGCTGGAGAGTCAGAGCGAGCATCTGCCTTGAATGACACTAGTACATTTCCAATACACTAGCTCCACGAGTTCTCTTCCTTCTTGCCAATGATTTCTCATGTCACATACCTTTATAATACCAATTTGTTTGAAATAGTCTGCCACTTGATCTGTTGAAACATCCTCTCCAAGTCCTTGCACGAAGATAGTGTTGTTATCAGAGTTGTCAGACTCTGAATCTATGGAAAAAAATAAGCTATATTTACCATGTGTTTTTGTGGTAGCAAGAGAAGCAACATTTTAAGGCCAGGTCTAGTACATCAGAGACCAAACACATTCTACTGATGAGCTGTATGCTACACACTCAACCTGTCCATGCAGCTAGGACATCCAAACCCATCAAAGCAGCATATATTTTAAATAACACAAGTTTGGTGGAAGCTTTAGGGCAGTGAAAGCAGCTGTTTGGCTCAAGCAGATTCAAAAATTCACATGCAGTTTAATTAAAAAAAAAAAAAAATAAAAAAAAATTTAAGGAAGACAAGCTTCAGCTAAATTCTTTTGAGCCATGGGAACTGCAGTCACATCCATCTTTCTAGACATATATTTTAAAAGCAATGATCTAAAGAGCTACAACCCCCTCCCTCCCACTGCTTGTTTGCTTACCAGCATCTGATCTCGGTCCATAATCCCTTTGACCTACGAAATGGGTGTGGAAATAAAAAAATAAAAAAAAATAAAAATACTATTTTTAGCAAAACATTTAAGTGACTTTTTTAGAGACAAGAAAATATTTAAAGTATGCAATGCATCTAAGATCTAAAACATTAACCAGACATTTAGAGAATATTTAGATTAAAACGTTCAACAGAAGGTGTCTGTAGGACATTAATGTGTTCTTTAACTTGCAGCATGTGGCAGTTGCCACACTGATGCTATGCTGGTGTTATCTTGCAAATGCTGGTTGTCAGATCACCAAGCAGTTTACCACTTTTTTTTTTAAACCTCTAGTACCTTTCTAAGAAGCATTTGTAACAAAAAATTTTTTAAAAATAATAATAAGAAAAAAAAAATCCGGTGAACGTCACTGTCTCCACAAATTCTTTCATGCAATTTGACAAAGTAGAAATCCAGTTTATTGCTAAAGTTTGGCTATTAAAACTCATGAACACACCAGCCTCACCAAAACGCTCTAACGCTTCTACTAGATAGTAACAAGATATTGGTGGCTTTTAGATTTATAAAGAATTTCCACTGAAACATTTTTGGATACTCGGCACTTACCACCGTAATTTTTGAAGCCACCACGGTCACCACCACTGCAGAGGAAAAATTGAAGAAATGATTTCTTCCTTAAGTCTCTACGTGCTGAGCCCAAGGCTCAATCTACAGTTAACTGATCACAAGTTGAGAGTTACTGTCTGTCAGCTAAAGCACCACCTCTATGTTCTCCTCACTACTCATTCATGTTCAAAGATTAAATAACATGAAAGTGAATAATCTCCCGGGGTGCTGCATTGAAGAAGTGAAACCCTAAAGAGTATTTTAAACTAACCCATACACCTCGTCATTTCAATATTTTCTCCCATCCCATAAGCCAAAATGACTGCTATTAAAAACTGGGTTTTAAAACAGAAACATTATTTTCATGAAGGTTAATGGGCTTTAATTGTAGATGTAATTGCTACTTGGGAATAATTAGTACTTTAGTACTTTCCTAGAAGTAAAGAAGAGCTAAAGTTAATTAACCTCCATTGTTATGCATTGATATACGAGGGACAAATGAGCAGTATCAGCCATTCTCTGAGAAAGGGTCTGTGGGGACCTACTGTCCTATTAGCACTTGACATTACAGAGAAGGCGTGGGCATGTGAGCTTCAAAAGCAGAGGCCGTGAAGTTTTATTTCATTCATTCTGAAACCTGTGGCACAAAATGTAGACCAAGTTAAGAGATTACACATATCAGTTTTTCAAAGGTTAGAAGGGGACTTTATAAACAGGACATTACACCTCCAATTATGTGCATGAAAATAAACCCTCACTCTTTTCAATGTCAATGTTTGTACTGGTCAGATTTTTCACAACAGCATTTTTAATTGCAGCCATGTTATGAACACAATATAATCAATAGTCAAAGCCTTCAGGAAAAATACAACCACTGGATTTTATTGAAAGTCAATAACCAAGTGTCTCATACTGCCATGGACAACTGCCTGCTAGCCCTCCTTCACATGGAGGACACAGCTGCCACCTGAAAATTAGGCAGATTCACCTCATCCTGATAGTTTTCACACATAGCAGCTAAGATAAAGCCAGGGTAAGTTCAAACCCTGATGTAGAGGGCTATCTCCAGATTTTGGAACTATTGTGCCAGTACAAGTAGCCTCTTCAACAATGCACTTTACAACTAGAAATCACTCCAGGATTTAACTCCATCTACCAACACATCAGAGTCCAAACACAGGACACAAGCATCCCAGGAAAAGGCAATGCAATAAAATTAGGGCATAACTTCTGTAGCACTCTGTATGTTTTCTGTTACAGCAAATGCAGAGTCCTGAACGGGAGGTACTGCTTAATTAACATTTATGAGATAAAAATCTGTCCAAAGCAAGGGACAAAAAAGAAGCAAGGTTTCAATTGGTATTATCAAAACTTAATTTAAAGAGACATTCTTTGAAGGGTGACTGGCATTGTGTGACAGTACACTAAGGAGTATTAGATATTTGGCACAACATACTATCACTTTTACTGGGGCTTGCCCTCAAATACTTTTTTTTCCTGCAGATTTTAAATTGCTTATCCACAGAAAAAAAATCTGAATGCTAAACTGCAGTGTCATCTACTCGTAAGTAATTCATTCTGCTCATTAAAAAGGTAAAATGAATGAATTTTATATGCAACAGAGCTAGCTCTTTATTCAAGGCTGGCTATTTTCAAGGACTGATGATAAAAACACAATGGTGATCATAAAATTTACTATAAATACCTTTCTGCCATCTCCAATTCACTTCAGCTAAAAAAAGAAACTTCATTATGACACAACAATTTTCAGTAAGATGCCTGCTCTTCTAGGATTTTAACTCAGGAATAACAAGAGTGAATACATCAACCAGGGAAATGTTATTAAAGTTTTCCAACTCTAGATTATGGTCCCAGTTCGTCAGGACAGCATTAGCCAGACCATGTATTAATTCTGATTTGAAAGTAAACAGCAGCAGAGACATAAATTAGAAAACCTCAATAATCTAAAACCATACATAAATTAAGTTTGTGATCCAGGATTTTACAGGAAGTGAGGATTTTGCTAAGATGCTGGGGTAAAACCGTGTGCACCATGATTCTGAGAAGTGACAGAGTTGGATATATAAAATATAAAGGAAGATACAGTCAAATGCTTAACTCCTACCTCTGTGATACAGTAATTCTGCACCCTGCACTAATAAATTCAATCCACAATTTTAAATTAGTTCTTTGTGTCTGCAGAAACATGTTTTTGTCCAAGTATGCTTCAGCATGTTACCTTCTGCTTGGGTCTTACATGACCAACCTAACCAAAATCTGCATCAATTCAGTGACAGATGCATTTGATAATAGATTAATGCTTTCCTCCATTTTTAAGTCCTATTTCGTATGTGATTTATAAAGCTGCAGTGTGTTACCCTCTGAGATTGCTGGGGCAAAGCTACCCAAGATCCCCAGGAGGCATGTGGATATGCTTCAGCAAGTGAAGTCAAACCCAGAAACTGGCTGCAAGTAGCTGATGCCACAGGCTCAGATTTATCCCTCACTGAGACCCAAAATTCAAGTCTCAATTTCAGCAACTGAATTAGTTCCTCCAGTATCATCACAGAACATGGAAAATATCACTGCAGTGTTTCACAGTCTTGCACAAATAGATGGGCGACGAGATGGAGTTTGGGGTTTTAACATCCTGTTAGAATCATGAGCAGGTAGCTAAAATTCAGCAAAGCCACCACCAAAGGTAACAAAATAAAAGAGACTGAACTGCACGCAGCCAGAATGTGCGCACGGCACCATTCATAGTGAGAAAAAACTTACTGCTACGAAAGACGTGTCATCAGATGTTCTTTTCTCCTATACTCAGTTAAATATATACCCCTATATCTATTTAAACATCACCTATTTGAGTGTAAATGGAGTTCATCTGAACATTGCTTACTTCAGCTGGGAATAACTCCTTAAATTAAACGCACAGTTACATGGAGAGCTGAACATTAGACACAAGAAATATATTTTAAAAACAGTGATCAAATATTGGCAGAGGTAGCACTAAGAATTACTAAGAATTCTGGAACCAAATTTCAGCCTCCAACACACATCTATGTCTTGTCAAGCACGTGGGAGTTACACATAAGAATGTACTGTTACAAACAAGAAAGGAATGTTTAGTGCACCAATAAAGTCACTGGCAGATGGCTTTTATTTTTTTGCTGCCTATATTTATTGCCTCTGTTCATGTTTTTCCAAAGTCTATATAAGGCTAAGCTCAAGCATATATATTACAAGTCAAAATATTAATTCTGAACACAAACCACATATGTAAAAAAACATTTGCCCTAAGTTGTAGTTTCTTTATATCACAAGCAGCTAATTCCCACTCAAAATAGTTAACATAGCAATTAAGCTCCATCAACATCAAACCTGCAGAAGATGGGGGAGGGAAAGCGAAGTTAGGATTTCTGTGACAAATCCCAACACAATGGTAAATCCTTTTCTAAACTGCATTTAGGTAGTTCCACCAACACAGAGTGTATGAGCAGATTCAAAGGCAAAGCTGCTCCCATTTAATCCCCAGACTCTAAAAGAAGGGCAGTGACACAGGTATGGCTACTCCACTGCCTGAATGACTTTCCCAAGATGAAAGAAAACAAACCTGCTTTGCATTGCTACTGTATTTCCCACCTACACGCTCAGCCAAAACAATTCGGTCCCACAACCACAATGAGCAATTAATTCCTCATCTTTCAGATGAGGACTCTAACAAAAAGGTGACTTATTCTACAAGGAAACTTGGAATAACTTAAACTCTGCATTCTCCAGACCTGGTGCAGCTGCTTTCTAATCAAAAGAGCTCAAAGATGAGACTCTTCTGTAATGGGTTTTTAAAAAAAAGGAAAAGATTTTGCTTCTTAGCCAAAATACAAATTAGTGAGATCATAAATTTTTCAAGCTTCAAAATGAAAGGGTGGAAGAATTCTACTAAAATCCCAAAAGACTTAATTCATGACCATTAAAAAAAAAATCTGAAGAATAATTTTGAAAACCCGAAGTTACCAAGATTAAAAAGGGAACATCTGACACAAGATCATTGTTCTCCATCACAACAACATCAGATAGGGAACGTGAACAGTAATTTCTCATAAGATATTTTCTTCCCAGTGCTGCATGGCTTTGCACAGGCACAAAAGACAAATGAGTGTCTGAAAAGACAAATGAGTGCTGAAAGCATTTATTACAGCACGTATTCGAGTCATTCTAGTTTTCAGAATAACGATTCACACCTTAACAACTACATTTTGAAGTACTTTTATAAAGGTGATTCAACGAAATGAAGGCTCTCCAAATTTCAAAATGATTATTTGATTTTGCCCCAAGTATTCCAGGATAATTATTTTCGGTATTTGCAGACTGCTCAGAGAGGTCTTGCATGCAGGGTAAGTTTATACAGGCAAATGCAACTGGCAAAAATCCTGCAGGAGAATTGATGCTGCAGCCAAAGTATCACACGTACAGGACAGCAGCAAGTCAGGGATGAGGGCTGTAGACAGGATGCACTGATGGCCCAGCACTCCAGAGTAAGTTAGACAATACAGCTGTAAGCACACCAACGACTGGGCAGATGAACAAGAGCTGCAACAAGTTCTCCCAGCTTTAAATGCCAGTCAAGACAAAATTTTTATTACTAGCTAAGACAGAAGAGATTAATTCGCTATGATCTCAAGTTAGCTATTGATTTTTTTTGTAATGTCAAGGAACAATACATTTTTTGTGTTGCTAGAACTCATTTACACTTTATTTTCCAATGACTATAAAAATCAAAACCTACATTATTACAGCAGTACAAATATCTATGTAGACAAAATTTTTAGGTATTATCTCCTGATGGCTATGGAATTTCCACAATTTAATGCTAATCATTAAAATGTGATCAAAGTAAAAAATTGAAAATTGTAACTAGTTACCGGAAACAGACCTGACACTGCTACACAAGCTGCTTTTGAGGGGGAAGAAACCCAAGGAAACAAAACCAAAAAACTACCCTGAAACCCCACATCTTCACAGGACTAAATGTGATTTCTTACCTTATTAGAAGTTATTTTCCCCTTGATTATACAGTCTGTTATTTAACCTTTTACACTTTTCTAATAAGCATGACCTTGGTAAAAATGTATGTCATGTCAGAAGCAGAATCCTCCATCATAATTATGCAGAAAGACTGAATGGACATGTATGACACTGCAGTTTCAGAAAAATTTCACTGCAAACAGCATTAAAGGCTGCATCACTTCACAGAAGCAGACAGACTTCCTAATAAATGCTTTCCTAAATTCTTTTGCTGTATTTTCCCCCACTTCTCCATTCACCTCCACTCTTTTCCTTCTTTTGGCTTTCAAGACCACTGAAGTATTACTATCTACATGGATACGTGAACAAAATTGTTCTTACATTTTGGAGAAATATGGGAAGAGGCTTTATTTTCACAGACATTAATTTATCTTGCAAAGACAGAAGTTTGTTTCAAAGTGATAAAATCTACCAAAAGTACTTTCTTTTTTTTTTTGAAGCTCACATTCATTCCTCTTATTGGAAAGGGCTCAGCTAGAAACAATTTTTTAAAAACCCAGATGTTATCATAGGAATATGGAAAACCTTCATCCACACAGAGAAGCTAATTTTAAAAATCGTTCAGTTTTAACTGAAAATTAACTTAGAAATTACTTTGCTAGCTAAGTTTATATTATATATAACCCCAGTAAACTTTAACATAAAGTAACTATTAATGTTTTTGTAATTGTGCTAGCACACCTAATTAAGAGAGAAAGGGTCTACCTACATCATCAAAACAGCAAGCCATGAAGTACAATTTGGGAGCATCTTAGGAGCAGGCAAACTTTAAATATGGTTTAAAAATGAATAAAAAGTAACCAAGTCTTAACACACTCTTGGATTATTTTATTTAAATTAGATCAGTTGAAGCAAACAGCATTGTATAATTAGAGTTCTTCGTTAAGAGTTCTTCACCTGCAGTTCTAGCAAGAACCCAGAACCGTGCAGCCTATTAAAGGGTAAGTGGTGTTGACAAGCAACACTTCAAAGCTCACTGGAAGCTTCCACATTCTTACTTTGCATCAATGAGCACAAAAATACACCTCCAACCATTCCACAAGGGTAGCCAGTTCTGATAGTTTATTAAGAAATAATAATGCCATCTGGCCTAATTCAAGAGGAATTTAAAGCAAAGGTCCCAGTCTTTCAGACCTATGCATGAAATCATCTGCAAGCACAGAATTAAATATGTGCATGAATTTTCTTGTCAGGAACCTAATTTTCTTGTCAGGGCCTAAGGCAACAGCAGAAGGGGAAACAGTATTGTTAATATTTAAAATCTGCCCAAAATAAATGTGTTCAGACTGACGGCTAAACCAATAATAAAAACTGTACTTTAATGGGAGATCAAAATTGCAAATAAACCCAGTAAAGAACAAGTAATATTATTCCTAAATTACTCAATTATTTACAAAGCAGAAACATAATTAGCCAACCTTAGAGGAATGATTTGCCACTGTAAAGTCAAAATAATTCCCTGCTAAAAAATTAGCTACCTTAGCTATAAATTTTATAAAACTTTCTCAATCCCTGGCTGTTCGTTTTCTTGTCATTGAAAACAATTTTTTACAGGTTTTAAAATATCTTGTTTTAAGGGACAGGCTCAGGTGGTTTTTACATTACAACTCATGTAAATAAAATGCTGCTATCTGTCCTAACAAGCAAACACTTGGTCTCAGTTTATCTGAATCTAAAAGCCTTTCTCAAGCAAAATGCATTTCTGTGCAGTGCAGAAAGGTTTAATTTTAGAAATCTTCCATTTTTGGAAATCTAAATCTGAATCACATTAGAAACAGACATATAGTAAATGAAAAACTGCTAAATAATAAAAAACAAGGGTAAGGAACTGCAGGCACTGGAATGAGATCACTTACCTGTATCCAGACATATGACCTCTTCCATCCATGTCATATCCCCCTCTACCTCCTCCCTGTGACCCGCCATATCCTCTATTATCTTCTCCATACCTACTCTTTTCACGACGATCATCTGGAGGGATGAGTAAAACAAAACAAAGCATGAGTAAATTGTAGTGAAAACTGCAGTGCAGTGAAAATTCTCACCCTGCCATTTTTTCCCCCACTCAAGTCTGACATTTAAATCTGGAAAGCATCAATTCCTAAATCTCTCTTATATTACCTATATCCTATGTAATGGAGAAAAGTTTGATTCTGTTCCAGTTATCTCCCCAGGCTTCCAGAGCCACAAAGTATCTCAGAATGTAAATTCTCTGCACTTTAATCACACTCAATTTTCCAAACATTAAACACATATTGTCTAAAATACACTTTTCATTCTACTGTTTAAGGCCAGGCTGGATGAGGCTCTGAGTAACCTGGTCTAGTGGAAGGTGTCCCTGCTGATGGCAGAGGGGTTGGAACTGGATGAGCTTTAAGGTCCCTTCCAATCCAAACCATTCTATGATTCTATACTTCCATATAGGCTTCCCAGTTTGCAAAAGACATCACTGAAGACAGAACAGGGATAAAGAGTGCAGGCTGTGCTGCTTCTGTGAAGTTACTGGATAATAAAAAAATAAAGTCTATCTTGCACTTCTCATATCCTTCCATCTCACAATTCACCTACACAGCGTAAAGCTGGAATGTGAAGTGCAAAAGCTCTTCCTGATTGATCAAGACATGTCATCCTCATGCAAGGAAGAGGGTTCAAAAGAGCTTAGGAAAAAAATTCCATATAGAATTTGCAGAACTCCAGGAGATGGGACTCTGCAAGGCTGTCTCCAACAAATGCAACTGCAGTAATTTTGGGGATGAAACAATTTTTCATCTCTGCATAATGTTCTGAAAGTCTTAACAAATAAAACATTCCCCAAGGACATCAACATGGAAAAAAAGCTTTAACTATTCATCAAATCAACCGTCCATGGAAGGAAATCTAACTATTTCGCAGTGCTTCTGCTCAATTTTCTTAGCCAATATTGAATTCAACCTGTGAATTTTACCTTGGCTGTTGTGGCTATAGCTTCCCTTCTGAGACTGGTAGGACTGCTGAGAATGGCCATATGAGCTTTGGTGCTGGTTATAGCCTGACTTTTGGTCATACGAGCTCTGGTGGCCATAGCCCGACTGCTGGTCATATGAGCCCTGGTGGCCATAGCCCGACTGCTGGTCATATGAGCTTGACTGCTGGTCATAAGAGTCTTGGTTTTGTCCATAGCTTGACTGCTGATCATAAGAGCTTTGGTGCTGACCATAGTTTGACTTTTGTTCATAAGAGCCTCTTCCACTTAAAATAAACAGAATTTGTATTAATAGCTAAATGTTCACAGAATAGAAAGCAAAACAATGGCTGAAAACTTATGACATTGCTACAATTTCCTAGTCCCAGTTACCTCCCAGTCGTTACTGGCATATGGATACAAAAATACTCTGTTTCCTCTCTGCTGGGATATATCTGACTTCCAATAAAAGCAAGGCAAAAAACTGTGTTACCATTGCTTTCAAGACATCCTCAGTTCCCACTGTAAATGTCACTCAAGAGCATCACTCCCTTTACATATTCCAGTACAACACTTGCCTTCTCCCCTCTCCCCAGCAGCATGACAACGGCTGATTCCCACGACCCAATAATCACCAAATCTTTCTCTACGGAACTGCAGGGACGACACTGCCACCATTTAAAAAAATAAAATAAAATAAAATCCATACCACACAAAGTTTTGCTCTCACTGACTTTTTGCTCTCACTGAATTGCAATCTATCTTTTTTTTCCTGGGCATTCTACCATTTGGCCATTAAGTTTTCTAACTCTTATCACATTCCCTAACATACTTGCAGTTCTTCCCACTTTAATGCCATCTACATACACTATCCCACCAACTTTCATCAGAAACAATGATCAATATCACACCTAAGATACTCCAACTCTATGCAGCTATACATTCTAAGAAGGAGTTGTATCTTCTGACTAATCACTTTCTAGCAACCACAAGGATATATCTCACCCACACCATATTTTCCAAGGCTATTTCAGCATCCAAGGTAGAAACAAAAGCATTTTGAAAATCTAGATATACAAGAGAACTATTGTTCCAGTTGGGTCACCCTTTCATAGCAAGACACTATATAGGTTTATGAGAAATAAATTGCACCCAGGAAACACTGGTTGTTACTCCTACTGTTGTTTTGTTCCTGGGTACTTAGTTGCAGCTTAACTGTATTATTTTTCCAGTAACTGAAATTCATCACCAACCTCTGTCACCCTTTCTTCTCTTCCTCCTCTCTGCTTCCACCCTTGTTCAAAAGATGAGGCACTACATTTGCCACTCTAGTCCTTGGCAATCTCACTTGCTAACAAAAATGGCTCAGAAAAACAAACAAACAAAAAATCTAAAAGCCTCCAGAAAGTTTCCACCGGCTTCTCAAAGCACTCTAAGATGAAGCCCATCATGTCCAACCAATCTCAAAATATCCCATCCATGTAAATATCATCTAATCTGCTCTCTCCCAGTTCTCTAATATCTCCTAGATCTTAGTTTTACCATAACTAATCCCAGTGGCAAAGAGATTATGAAGATTTTTGTTAATATCTTCACTTCAAGAATGTCAGCTCCACTTTAGCCTTTGCACCATCACCAAGGAAGAAAGCATCGTTGAGAGCATCCACAGTTTGCTGGTTTTCCTTCCTTCTCTCCCTTAGGATGTAAAAGCTACAATTTTGTGGCTATCCTCTTCAAAGCTGCTGTAATTTAATTTCTCAGTTTCTCATTACTTGTTACAAGCACACATTGAAAAGTTTCCCTCCAATGTCTTTTCTAAATTTTCTTGGTCAAACCCTACTTGCTGGATAATCTATGCCCTGCTGCATTTTTTTCCCCCACTGGATGTCTACAGAGTTAAAAACTACATTATTGCCTAGTCATAGGGAGTCCATAGCTCCCATATGAGAGCTATTGTACAGCTCTAATAAACACTCAGGAAACAAAGCAAAGCAAACAAAACTCAACCATGTCCCTGACTTCTTTTGAGATGCAAAAGACACTCTGAGTGACAGCACCTACTGCTGACAGATTAAGACCTTGCTTGTTTATATCGAGAGAGTTTGTAGTAATAGCTACAGAAACAGAAGCCAAGTACAGGTTTGCTGAAGCCCAGATTGTTTTATCAGCTTGCAAAAAAACCCCACAAAAAAATATCTGGACCTTGGACATAAGAATGAAGTTTAGTACATGACAGTGTATTTTAAAGAGGTCACATGATCCTCAATAAAGATCTAATGCAAGCAGTAATCTTGGGGTGTATGCATGAAGCTTGTAAATTAGATAATGAAGTGGCTTTGTAAGTCACTACAGGAAGTTGGGTTGTATTTTCCAATATGCTTTAAAACTTGCATCATTATACTCCTAACACCAATTTGAGTACAAAATCACAGAACAAATAAAATACATTTGTAACAGCATGAAGTACTGACTCACAGTGCAGTCTGCACACACACATTTAAGTTACTGATAAGGATACAAAACCATGGTGCTTTGAGAATCCCACATAGATGGAAAAAGAAAGATATTTCTTAAAATGGCATTTCTGAATCCTTTCCTCTTCTTTCACCACAGAATGACATCCTAAGTCAGATAAGAAGCCTACAAATCCAAGAACAAGCAAGAATTTCCTTGCTAACAGCTTATTTGAAGTTAAAGAGTACTGTAAGTTTATACAAAAGAATGTGACTGGAGAGGTACTCAATCTATCTTTTTCTTAATCAAAATATTCTCTACCAAGTCCATTCTTTATTGCAGTCACTATCCAAAGACTTCTAAATTTTATCTCCCTGTATAGCCTGACTTCAAAACAACTGCATCCATCCTTTGATAAAGAAATATTCTTCCCTTACCTCCTGTTCTTTCAGGCATTAAAAATGTCTTAAGAATGTGGATTTTCAGATATTTGTCCTTTTTTTAGCAAAGACAGCAGGAAAACTGTTACAGCTCTAGCTATGAATTTATAACTACTAGACAGTACTTTAAATAGACACTGTTAATCTCAGCTTCCTTACCCTCTAGACGATCCTTTCTGCTGCCCCTGACTGCCATAAGACTGCTGGTTGTATGAGCTCTGATTCTGATTTTCATAACTGGATTCATCATCATATCCCTGGGAATCTTGTCCATAACCTGGAAATGGAGGAAGAAAATTTTAGTAAATATTCACTTTTTAATTGCTGCCAATGAATGTAACAAGCTAGCCAAACCTGTTTGATTTTGTCCATAGTTCCCATGATAACTTCCATAGTTCTGTCCATAGGAGGAACTGTCTCCACTCTGCCCATAACCAGAATATCCCTGTAATTTAAAGGATGTATTCAAGTGAGCGTAACTTCCACAGCAATGACACAGTAATGACAGTTTTCCTTCACTAGACACGATTGCAAACATCAAGCACAGCTGAGAATGGACTTCTTCCCAGCCCAGATATATATATATACACATCCAGGAACAATAATTTTCACTCAAGGAACATCTGTGTTGAAAGACACAATGTTTTTTTCAACTTACCTGTCCTTGTCCATAATTCTGACTGCCCTGATTGCCATAGGAGGAATAGCTGTAAGAGAAAAATGCATTCAATAAACACTTACAGTGCCTTCCACGTGGGCTGGAAAGTATTTTTGGTGTTATTTTAAGTTTCTTTTCATTCCACAATGGGTGTTCAATCCGAGTACTGTAGTTGTAGGCAGATTAGAACCACATCAATAAACATTATAATGATTATCACAGTTGACTGTCAGAAGCCAGAAGAGTTTATTTTAATTTCTGCTGTGTTTCAAGCATAAATTTAAAGTACATGAAAGTTGGGCTTACTGCAATTTGACATGTTCTTCAGAACCACAGAAAACTTGGTTGAACAAAACCAAAGCATTTTAAGTTTTTCAGTATATTCTTACAAAGTTAATTTTATTTTCATCAATTCCTGTCAATTTGGTATTTATTGGACTATTCAATATCATCATCACCATCAAAAACCACGCTAGCTTTAGATTGTACTTACTCTTTATTCTGCCACTTTAAGGCTTCATGAACTTGACAGGAGAACCATGTGCTGAAACTCCCATCATACTCAGGTATAAACTCAAACTCACACAGTGCTATATGTGTAGAACTTGGTGACTTTCATTAGCACAGTCAACATTAGCCGTGATTTTCATACTTCCATAAAGAACACTTTTATTTCACTGATTAAAATACCTCCCTCCCAAACCTGCAGCTGTTTTATGAACTGGCTTTTAAATGTCACAATTACAAACAGTTATCAGCAGGTTTTAACACAACGTTCCCCCCAACAGGAAAATAAAACGGAATAATACAATTTTATATCTATATGGCCTGTCATCTTTATACCTGTATAACTTTTGGCTAAAATCTCAGTGAGCTGCTTAAGGCACTCATATGAAAAATATTTCTCTATATTCTTGCCATTTCAAAATTCTTACTATTAAAAGATGTCATCCCAATTTAAACCTGCTTATTGTTTTCCCTTCAGGAATATAGTTGTTTTCCTTTTTTATAAGACATCTTAATAAAGGCCCAGAGCAGTAAGCTTTCTGCACCTGTAACTCCAAAAACTTATGAACACTGTAACATGCCCAAAAAATTCAAACATAATGCTGGGAATCCTAAATGGCCTTTTAATTTGCAGATTTAATTGCTAACAGCAAAAAAACCCACACATACCTCTGCTGGCCCCCAGACTGACTGTAACTTCCAGAATCTAGAAAAAGAAGCAAGTCATGTTGAGAATTTCCAATTGACATTTTATTCCTCTACTCATAATAAGAGGAAAAAAATTGGGGAGAGGGAGAAAGGTTCAAGTACGTCAGATAACGCAGCTGCTTTCCCTGCAGAATGAGGCAGTTTCCTCTTTATTAACAAAAAAGAAAAGGCACAGAGTACAGAGGACATGACACAGGCACGGGCACTTTGAACTTTCTCTCTGCAGGATCTGAATTCCACTGTCAAAGCACCTCTTCCAACATTTGGGACTGCAGAAGCCTCTCTAGTGGCAATCGAATGCAGTGCCATCATCAATGAACAGAATTAACTCAGCAGCAGCTGAATTAATGAAGCAAAGCTAAGGAGGTTGGACCTACTGATCCCCTGTGTAGGACGCCCTAAGAAAGCTCTGCCCATCAAAGGGCACAGACACAGGCAGGATGTGGAGCTGTAAAATCAGGGATGGAAGAACCAGGACATATCCCTGCTCTCATTTTGCAAAAGGAGAAGTGTTATTGATAGCTCAAACCATGAATGAATGCATTTACACAGCACAAGTGTCCAGGCAGATATTATGAATATTACTTCCAAGTAATGTAAACATCAGTTATCAAGGTAATTCATTTTTTAAATACATTGGAAGAATGTGGATTTCAAAATGTTACCTCAAGTTTTAAAAAAAAAAAATTAAATCACTAAAATGGATTGAGTTGTATTTAAAAGAGAGCATTTAATTTTTAAAAGCTATCAACATTATGAAAACCCCTGTTACCTGCTAGTTGGAATTGAATTCATAAATAGAGTGATTTGTCTTTACTCATTTAGCTTATTACATTATTTGTTAATTGCACAATGATGGTTACCTTGTCAACTGCAAATTTTTATGTGTTAAAAACTATTATAGAAAGGAAAATACATGTTCCTACTGGTTTATTTTCCCAAGGCAGCTGTAACAGATGCAGACACACAGAACACACGTGCATTGCTCCATTAACCTCAGCCCCTTCAGAATTCAGGTTGTCACGAGCACATTTCACCTCCTCAGAGATACCCACACACCCCAAGCTGCTCTACACCCCACCAACCTCTTCACTACACGGACTCTGCTGACCTCACTTTCTATGCAGGAGCCTCAATTCCTCTTGACATTTTTGCTTGAAATTCCCACCTTCTTGTCAAAACTCAAACACCTCCTTCCTTTCTCTACCAGCCTCAGCAGTACTGTCACTCACTCTGGATAAGAGCCCTGCAATTTTCCTGTTCCTTTCAAATCACTTCAAGAATTGGTACAAATATTGTGGTGCTGTGGTCTAATAAAAACCATCAGGAACTTCTCAGTTTTCATCCCTGACTTCAGTCTTTCCCCCACGCTCTCTCTCTCTCTCTCTCTAACTTCTACACCCAGAGCTGACTAAAAAGCTGCCAGCGAGAGTTAATTACAAAGCAGAGTAAAAGTCATAAACTATAAACGACTATAATAATTTTCCAATCAAAACACTCATCAAATTGCTGCAAGTCTGTTCATTATACCTCCCTCATCTGATTATAAACCCAGCCCTGCCAGTACTTACACATCTATTTAAACACATGCTGAGGATGTCACCTAAGCTATTCAGACCTGAAGCAGCATTTTTAGTGGTCAAGTGTCTCCTCAAAGCAACACAAAGCATCAAATTTCATATTCTGTAAGAGAAACTTTTACCAAAAGCTGAGATTAAATAATACTTCATTTCACATGTCCTATAAAGCAGTTTCACTCAGATATGAAACATTCTCCTCTTCTTCCTCTGCTACACAAATATTTCATTGCCTTTTCATAATGAAAAGCATTTAAAAAGTACAACTCAAACATGTTTATTGTTTTTAATGAGCTGAAGGTTAATTTTCTTACATTATGTCAACTTAAATTATCAAAAAGATTATTATTAAATAGGTAATAGCATTTTAAAATGTTGGTTTCACTCCAAAATGTATGTGCCATTAATGTTGCTAATTAAAACAAAGAATATTAATGGTTGTATCAGAAAGAATTCTCGAGTAAGGATGTAATTAGCTATAAACAGAAGGACTACATTTAATTCTCCTTAGTTTCTTCTTTATCCACTTCTGCCAAACCACTAAATTTTGGAAAAAGTTTGAAAGCAACCAGATAAGGAGTCTGTAAAAAATGAGTAAGTAAAATCAGAGGAATTTCCCTATTTATACATTTTTATACATCCTTTGCTGGACTGCTTAGTCTACAGACTTCTGATCGATTTATTTTGGTGGGCTCAGTGGGGACAAAAGTCTGTAAGTATTTCAGGTAGTTTATTCTGCAAATTAACAGATAGTTTATTCTGCAAATTCCTGGATACACAGACAATTTTTCTGAATGTTTAAAAAGCCCATGGAAAAATTTCCCATGAATGTAGTGGGGGAGAGCAGACAGCCACCTTGCACTGCTCAGAAAGTGTATTCCTCTTAAGATAGAAAAAATCTGCTGAGAAAATGTGAAAACAAGTTCTCATAGAAAGCAATTCATCTAAAGAAGCAGCATTGTTTCTGTAGCATTCTCAACAAAAATAATCCCATGTTTGGGCATCACCACAGAGTAAAAACAGAGGAGACACTCGCAGGTGCTTGACTGCAAGTACTTGAGGTCTGGGAAGAAAGTGGGGTTAGATTTCTGCTACATTAACTTCCAGATTACTTCATGGTCTGAAGTCATTTTATTGTACCTGCATACATGTTTTCTTTTCATGGCAAAGGGCTGTCCTTGCACTAAAGGACTCCTCTCACATACCTTGTTTTGGTTTTATTCTCCATCATTTATATAGACTAAAATGGCTCAACCCTACCATGGCTCACTCCACAAAGCACTTACAGCCCTTAAATTCCTTCTCCCGTTCTGGGGTACACTATCTATCCACGACTTCACAGGGCCATCACTGCTGGTGGCATGGAAACATTTCCACCTCAGACGAGATGAAGAAACAGCAACACAACGTGCTCACAGGAGCCCAGGAGAAGCTGGTCTGTGTCAAGTCATCGGGGACAGCAGATTTACTGTCTCTGTACTCAACCAAAGGCCGTTTGTTAGGAAAAGAATTATAGCCAGTGCATTTTTAAGCCCACAGCAGGGAGGCTGTGAAGCTACCCCCTTCCCTATGCTGGCACCTTTGGGACACGGGGGCTGCTAGAGTAGAATGAGAAGTAGATGCAGCAGATACTGGGACACAAAGGTGGGTCCAGTGCTGGGTGGCAGGGAGGGCATGTCCCCTGCTAAGGGGGGGAGCATGACCCAAAGGAAGGGGCATTTGCATTCCATGGGGGGTGTTAACCCAAAGGGGGAGCACACAAACCATGCTGTGGGCAGTGGCACAACCGAAAGGTGGGACTGCATCTCACACCAGGGTGTGTGGGGGAGGACACACATATAACCAGAGTGTGGCCCACACAGGGGAATGGCCATGGACCAAAATGGTGGGCTTACACCTCACACCAGGGGCGGAACATGGCCCAAATG